GCATCATAGCATCATCATCATCGTCATCGTCACCATCATTATCATCATCACCACATCAGCCTCACCATCGTCATCCTCATCAGCAGCACCATCAGCATCATCATCATCATCATCATCATCATCATCATCATCATCATCATCATCATCATCATCATCATCGTGACCACCACTATCAACATCACCATCATCATCATCATCATCATCATCATCATCATCATCATCATTATCATTATCATCATCACCATCATCATCATCATCAGCATCAGCATCATCATCATCGTCATCATCATCATTACCACCACCACCATCACTATCATCATCAGCATCAGCATCATCATAATCATCATCATCATCAGCATCATCATCATCCTCATCCTCATTATCATCCTCATCATCCTCATCATCCTCATCATCATCATCCTCATCCTCCTCCTCATTCTCGTCCTCACCATCAACATAATCATCCGCATCATCGTCATCACCATCTCCACCACCACCACCACCACCATCATCATCATCATCATCACCATCATCATCATCACCATGCAAATCAACATCACCCTCACCAAATATCGACGCGCTCATCGTTATGTACCCTCAGTCGTCATGATCACCGTTCTCACCGTCATCGGAATCGGCTTCGCCGTCATCGTCGTCATCATCATCAGCATCATCATCAGCATCTTGTCATTATCATCACAAACATTAGCATCATCACCATAATCATCCCTCATCCCTTCTCCACCCTTGAAAGTGACATGTTCTCCTACACTCGTTACTACATTCGCCGCCGTCCGACCGCCGCAATCATTTGCAGCGCGCGTGCAGCATGCGTGCACGCAGCCACATTGTGGATCAAGGAGTTTGGCTCATGCCAGCCCTTGGAGCCGCTGCTCCCGCGTACTGAAAGGTAGTTCATGGTACATCGCGCAAGAAAAAACAAGACAGGCATCATTATGTGGTGTTCTTATCAATCTTGCTTGCCTTCGATGGTGGAGTTCAGGAAACACATGATGTAACTCGAATTGCACACGTACTCACCCGCAATGGCTGCTATATGACCGGTCTAGAGCGAACTTGCATTCAACTTGAATACTCGAGGTGGGGGGTGTTCCGTGGAAAGCTGTACCATGTCATGGTGTGGTATATCTGAGTGTTGGTCCTCGAGGGAGACAGTGGGCTCGAGGACGCGTAGACGAACTGCGCCCTCGGCAAACGCGATGGCGAGCGGGAGCGGAGGAGTGAATGATCGAGCCGACGACCGCGATAGGACCACAGGGCTTGCATATGACCTGCGTAGGACCGAAGCCCGCCAGCGAAGAGGATGCGCAGATGGCGCGCGAGAGAGAGCTGGAGGAGCCCCGAAGAACTGGGAGGAACCCGAAGGCGTCGACACAACGCACAGACAAGAGAGGTCGGGCGGGGCCGCCAGCGGCGCTCCCACGAGAGCGGGTCACGACGAGTCGGGACGATGAGATGCTGGAGATCTTCACGGGGGCTCCTCCTCCTCCTCCTCCTCCTCCTCCTCCTCCTCCTCCTCCTCCTCCTCCTCCTCCCCCTCCCCCCTCCCCCTCCTCCCCCCCCCTCCCCCTCCCCCTCCCCCTCCCCCTCCCCCTCCCCCTCCCCCTCCCCCTCCCCCCTCCCCCTCCCCTCCCCCTCCCCCTCCCCCTCCCCCCCCTCCTCCTCCCTCCTCCTCCTCCTCCTCCTCCTCCTCCTCCTCCTCCTCCTCCTCCTTTCGTTGGTGGGTTTCGAAGATGAGCATTTCACCCGAGACATCCTCACAGCACCGAGATGTTCGAGAGGAGCACGGCAGACCAGGAGAGGAGCAGGGCAGACCAGGAGAGGAGCACGGCAGACCAGGAGAGGAGCACGGCAGACCAGGCCTCAAGAGCGCCCTCAAGACGACCGAATGGAGGATCAAGACGAGGAGCACGGCAGACCAATACGAGGAGCACGGCAGAATATGCCCTACGAGCGCTCTCAAGACGGCCGAACAATCATCAAACAATACATGAGTCGAACGCCGTCTTGGAATCATGGTTGCGGGCAATCAATACGGCCCAAAAAAAACAAAACGGGCCCCAAGATGACCCCCATGGTGCCCTCAATACGGCCGAACATGACGATTGCGCTGGGGACGCTTTCAGCACATTAAGAGTGTACCAGCACCGTCTGTTGCAACAATGCTGTGCTGGTTTGCCGTTTTCCTGTGGTCAGCTGTGCTGGTCTGCCGTGCTCCTGCGGTCTGCCGTTCTGGTCTGCCGTTCTGGTTCTGGTTCTGCGGGGCCTATAAAGGCTGGAGGGCACCACAGAGGCGCCAAAGCCCGAGGCCGCCTCTGGGCCAAACCCAGAGGGCCTACAAGGGCCGTCCCCGTACAGAGCAAGTAGCTCCAGGAGGCAAAACACCGAACCCCGAGGCCCAAAGGCGGAGCACCTTGGCCCCAAGGGAGGGCCCAACCGCTCCTGTGGTCTGCTTTCCTGGTCTGCCGTGTCGCTGCGGTCTGTCGCGTTGCTGCGCTGTGCCGTGCTGCGATTGCATGCCGATGTAGCGGTCAGGCGATTAAAGAACGAGAGTCGGGTTTCAACGGCTGCGCAGTTGTAAACTGCTAGTCCAAAGGCTCCTCAAGGGACCCCAAGATCGCCCAAGCTCACCCCGAGAATCCCTTCGTCATTTTCATTATCAACATTATTATCATGATCGTGATAATGATCATCATCGTCATCAAAAATCATGGTCTGCCGTGCTGGTCTGCCGCGTTGGTCTGCCGTGCGAATGCGAATGTCAAGGCCTTAAAGGCGGGGCGAGAGCCCCCGAGGAGAAAAGGAAAGAGGGGGGAGCCATTTTGGGCCCAGGGCACAAAGGGGGCCACCGCCACCTAGGGCAAGACCAACGCCCCTGGAACCGACGCCAAACCCGAACATGACCAGGGCCATCGGCAAGGCCGAATGTGCCACCGCCGCATCCCGACCCCGAGACGCCAGGCCTACAGAGGCGACGGCCTAAGGGGCCCCCAGGGGTCTCCGGGCACCGGAAAACCTGGCCCCCGCAACTTCACGCCTGCAACCTAACAAAGCTCAATCGCGTCTTTGGCGCGAGCGCGCAAAATGAAGAGACTACTGACCGGGTCGGCGACAGGAGCAGGGAAGGTGAAAGCCCAGGCAAGCACCCATGTTACAGTCGTGATCGATTGGAGAGGACACGCGAGAGGACACAAGGCCCTTCCGAGGGCCACACTGCCATAGGAGTGTAAGAAGACGTGGGTCGCGAAGCTCAGGACACAAAGGCGCCCCTGATTTGGCAGGGTCGACCTACTAATCCGGGCCGACTGTAGCCCGACTCTCCCTCGGACCTCGGCGCGCGGCGGTCCAGGCGCCCGCGCGCCCGCCCGCGCTCGCGGCCACTGGCGGCCTCCGCGCGCCAGGCCCCGAGGTCCGACGCGTCGAGTCCGCCGCTCTCGGGGTGGCCGGCCGAGGGCGGGCCTCCGGGCGCCGATGCCGCCGCCGAGGCGCCTCTCCCACCGGCCGGCGCCCCCGCAAGGGCTGGCTGCGAGCCCGCAGCCCCGTCGGCCGCTGCTCCTGCCACCACTGGCCCCGCGCCGATCCAGGCCGCGCGGCGCCCCCGCGCACCGTCGGGCGCCTCGCCCTGGAGGCGGGGCCCGGGCGGTTCGGCGCCGCGCACTCCCTGCTTCCGCTGGCGAGCGCCCCGGGCGCAGGCCGCGTCTCCGGAGGCTGAGCTGGTTGCGCCCCGGCTTGTCGGCCATGGCCCGTGGGCGCTGCTCCTCGAGCCTGGGCTCGGCCCCTGAGCGCCCGCCGAGGACCGCGCGGGCGCCGCGTCTGGCGCGGGCAACCAGCTCCTGCTCGTCGGCGCCGTCGTCGCAGATGGCGCAGCTCAGGACGTGGCCGAGGAGCGCGAGGGCCACCGCCTCGAGGTCCTGCTCGCCGCTGGCCTGCGCCGCGACGCGCGCGCTGACCAGGCGGCGCCGCTTCAGCTCCTGCTCGCCCGGCTCGCCGCCGTCGCCTTCGGCAGTGGGCTGGCTCCTGGGCGCGGGCGCGCCCGCGGGTCTCGGCGTCGAGCAAGCCATCGCTGCCCATAGCCGCCGCCCCCTGCCGCGGCAAGGAGGCCTTGCCGATCCAGCGCGCGAGCTCGCGCGCCCAATGCGGCGACTCCGCGGCGCCCCCCGGTGGCATTCGCGCCCACGGCGTGCGCGCCAGCACCCAGCTTGGCTCAGCGATCGGCGCGCTGGTTGCCTCGCCTCTGGGCCTCCGCCAGGAGCCCGTCGAGGGCGGCCTGCCTGCCGCAGTGGGCGGGGACCTCGTTGACGGCTAAGGCCCCCTGCGCGAAAGCCGCTCGGGCCCAGTTCCACGGGCGGGAATTAGGCCCGCGCGGCGCCGCGCCGCAGGCCTTACCGTTCCTGGGGCAAGAGACCACGGAGTCGCGCAGTCGGTGTTCACCTCGCTAACGTCGGGGCCCGCGTTGCAATCGACCAGATCCAGATGGCGAAGCCCCCCCCGTCCGCGGCCGTCCGTCGCGGGCAGGCCCCGCCCGGTAGAGCCGCGCGCCACGGACGCCAGGTCCCCGCGGTCATCGCGCTGGGCGATGGACCACCCAGCTCTGCGGAGGACCGAGTAGCTGGGTCCCAGGGCCGAGCCGTCGAGGTAGAGCCCCCCCCGAGCTTGTCGCCCGCCGGCCGCCCCGCCCCCCGGGCGCCCGCGGCGCCCGCGCGGGGGCCCGAGGTGGCGGCGGCGCAGGAAGCCAGCGGCGCGCGAAGCTCCGGCGCCCGCGGCAGCGCTGCAGGCGAGGGGATGCGCTGTCTCGCCGCGGCGGCGCCAGCATGGGGCAGTCGAACAGGCGGCGCCAGAGCGCCCCTCGCTCTCCTCCACGCCGGCAGCACCGAGCGCGGTCGCGCCCCTCGGCGTCGCGCGCGCGTTGGAGGCGCGCGCGATCATCAGCGCGCGCTGCCCCCTCTCGCCCGGGCCCCCTCCTGGCCCCAGCAGGGCGGCAATGGCGCCCCAGAAGACGGGCCGTCGCAAGTGCTCGTCGCTGGCGGGCCTGGAAACTTCGCGGCGGTCGAGGGCGCGCCGCGCGCCGAGCCCCGCCTCCACTCCGAGCCCCCGCGGCCCCAGCTGGAAAAGGTCGAGCTTTTCGCCCTGGTCCGCGCGGAGGGCGCGCTCCGACTCGAAGTGCCAGCCAATCCTGCACATGGTCTGCTGTGCTGGTCTGCCGCGCTGGCCTGCCGCGCTGGCCCAGTCTGCCGCGCCCCCGCGGCGCGCCAGGCCGCGCTGCGGTCGCAGGCGCGAGCGCCGGGGCCTGAATGGTTCGAAAGAAACGAGGCCCCCCTTCCAAAACGGGGCGGCGCGGCGGAGGCGGGCCAGCCGAAGGGCGCGACAAAGGGCCCCTCCTCGCCCAGAAATCGAAAGGCGCAGCACATAGAGACACCCCAATCCCATTCGCAATCGCTCGGATCTGGCACCGCGGCGCTCAAGGCGCCGACGCACTCTGCGCTTCTCAGTGGCGCCCTGGGCAGTCGCCGCCATCTCCGACACCCAGACGGCTCCGCGCCGAAGGCCTCCAGGCGCGCGGATGCTTGCCCAGGCGCCTCGCCGCCGCTGGAAGGATGCGCCCCCCTGCCGGCTGGGGCTGCCGCGCCCGCCGCCGAACTGCTGGCGCCCTGCTCGTTGCCTTCGCCCCCTCCTGCAATCGTAGACGGGGGGCCCCCTGGCCCCTCTGCCGCTGCTTAGGCTGCCTCGGCCGCCCTCCAGGATGGAACCCGCGGGCCCAGAGGCCACTCTGGTCGCGCCCGCCCTCGACGGTCTCGCCCCCGACGCAGGCTTCCTCGAGGCGCGGCTTCGCCCCGGAGCGTCCGCCCAGCACCGCGCGGGCACCGCGCTTGGAGCACGCCGCCAGCTCCTGCTCGTCGACGCCCTCGCCGCCGACCGCGCAGCCGACAGAGGGTGCCCAGGATGCAAGTGGTCACCGCGCCCGTGCCGACGGCTGCCGCGCTACCCTTGGCCGGCGAGCGGGCGCTCGCGAGGCGCGGCCGCTTGGCCCCGGGCTCGTCTGGCGCCCGGGCGGCTGCGGCGGAAGGGGGCCCCTCGAACTGCACTCGGCGGCGCTCCTCGGCGCCTGGTAGGCTCTCGCTGCCCTTGGAGGCGATCCCCTGCCAGATGACTGCGGCCTGCCCGATCCAGGGCGCCAGCTCGAGGACCACCTCCGCCAACGCGCGGCGCTCGCCCATGGCCTGGTCGCCCACCGCGTGGAACCTGGCGCCCAGCTCGGCGAGGCGGTCGGCGCGCCCGTTGCCTCGGCGCTGAGCTTCCGCGAGGACCCCACGCAACATCGCATGCCTGCTGCAGCGTGCTGGTACCCTCCGCGCGGCGAAGGCTCCTGGCTCGAAGGCGGCGTGGATCCTGCTCCAGAGGCGCGCGTTGGGCCTGTTGGGCGCCGCGGCATGCGCGCGACGCTTCCTGAGGCAAGAGACCGTGAAGCTGCAGTCGACGTTGACCTCCTCCACGCCTGGCCCAGCATAATTGACCAGCATCGGAACCGCGAAGCCCTCGCCGTCCTTGGCCGTCGGCTGGGGGCAGAGGTCGCGCCTGACCGAGCCGTGGATTCCCGATATCAGGTTGCCATCACTATCGACCACCCTGCACGGCGCAGGAAGCCATAGCTGGGCTCCAAAGCCGAACCGTCCAGGCACAGCTTCCCGTTGAACTTATCTTCTAGAGGCCCGCGCATCCACCGCACGCTCACGGCGTCGGTGCGGCGGCCATGCGGCGGCGGGGTGCAAGCAGCCAGCAGCGTGCGAAGTTCTCTCCTGCGGCCTCGCCTCGCGCGCGGGCTCGCCCGGCGCCGCGCTGCAGGCGTGGCGAGATGCTGTCCTTCCGCTGGGCCGCCAGGGCGGGGCGCGCGAAGAGGCGGTGCCTGAGCGTGCCACGCTCTGCTCCGCGGCAACAGCATCTCGAGTGGCCGCGCCCCTCCGCGTCGTGGAGCCTGGCATGCGCCTGGTTCGCATCGGAGATGCACGCGATCAGCGCGCGCTGCTCTCGCTCGCCTCAGTCCCCGCCAGGCCCCAGCAGCAGCGTTGTGGCATCCCACAAGAGGGACCCATGCCAGCTCCCGCGCGCCAGCTTGCTCCTCTCGTGGCGGTCCGAAGCACGCCTGGCCCCGAGGGCCGGGAGCCCGCGGAAGGGCGGGCAGCCGCCGCCAACGCTTGAAGGACTGACTGGATTGGCCAGCCTTTTCCAGCCCGCGTCTGCCCCTTCGGGGAGGGGTTTGCCCCTCCCCCTCCCCCCTCCTCCGGGGTCTGGACGGGGGTGGAGCGTCCAAGATGGCCTCGGCGAGGGAGCCGGTACTGTCACTCGGCGAGGAAGCAGCCGAATCCCAGTACTTTGGCCGACTGCACCCGGTCGCCAGGATGCCTGGGGACATCATGTGGGACGTAGAAAGACATGCTGGTGCTGTGGGTCCTCCTGGGAGGCGTACGTCCGACCAGATCACACAGGGCAACACTATTGTTGCACATCGCTACCCCGGAAGTATGGCCAGAAAGCGCATGCCGCTGAGCACAGACTACAAGATGCCTGAGCGCGCGCGCGCGTCGCCCATTTTGGGGCGACGCACCTATAGTGTAAGAATGTTTGGATGGGTATAAGAATGTTTGGATGGCGCTAATGCTGGACCGCTGGAGAAGCCGACCAGAGCGGACGGGCTGGGCGTTACAATCCCAGACAGTAAACTTGAAGTTCCCCGAAGCCTCCCAAGAGAGCCAGATCCGCGCCAGATGCGAATGGAAAAGGTTCACCTGCCGCCGAGACACTTCGCTTCTGGACCTTGAGCCCGTCTCCGTCTGAGCGAAGAAGCCAAAAGAAATGAGCGAATGCGGATTGGAAGGACTGATGATACTCTTCTGCTAAACTAAGTCTGTGACGAACGTTGCCCAGACCTTCTACGACAAATCACAAGAACGACGCTCAACTACGCCTGACTAGGTTCCGCGGAGGTTTCACTTCGGAAGAGGCTCGCGCAATCCTCTCGACCGGGAAGGCGTATGGAGACAGCGACACCGTGAACCACGCGGCCGTACAGCACCCATGGGCTCGTGGATGGAAGGAACGATGAGGAGCAGGAGGAGGAGGAGGAGGAGGAGGAGGAGGTCACATTCCCCACGAGGGCCCGGGGGGCTACGACTCGAGCCAGGGAAGGACTCCCCAGATCGTGACCGAGGCTGGGGCAAACAGGACCTGCCCAGCACCATCCCCCACAGCCTGAACCGAGCCCCGTGGACTTGCCAGAGACGCCCAGCGGCGCGCACCCCCTCGTCGGGCGCGGACGACTCGGCGCAGCGGGTGCACCGGTAGCCATGCGCCGTGCTTCGTGGAGGGCTTCCGCCGCAAGGGCCATGGCACAAGATGGCCCCGAGAGGCCCCCAAGACAGGGTGGCCACAGATGGCCGAGGAAGGCGGCCCCCGGGGAGCCCCGGACAGCCCCGGGGCGCTGCAGCCCTCCGAGCGGTCGGTGCTCGGAGCGCCGCTATCACAGGGTGCCGCGCTGGCACGGCGGCGCGAGCACGCCGTGTCAGCTGGATGATGTTTGAGATGCCCAGCAGGTGCACAAGGGAGGGCGGCTGGTGCTCAAAATGTGGCGCTCGCTCTTGCGCCGCCCACATTCGTCTCAAAACTTCAAACACTTGCACGGATGGGCGGCGGTGCCAGTTCGAGGCGCAGCTCTCGCGTGAGGCTTCCAGACGCTGTGTATCTCTGACGATAGAACTGTATCAAAGCTACAACTGGCATGAAAAGCAACCCCCTTTCAAAATGTGTCTCTCGTCTGAAACTTCCTCGCAGATTATGATCACGAAGCTGAGAGCTACACGCATATAGATCGGCGGTTCCTGTTCAAAGCCATGCTCTGGCTCCACCATGTGGTTGGGGGCGACTCCCTATTACCCGAGCTTTGAACATGCCGTGCCGTGCCCAACTATGCCGTGCCTGTGCTCCAAGATGCGAAAATATGGCGTGCCGGGCCGGGCCTGTGACAGAGTGCAAAACATGCGCTGTGCCGTGGCGACCATGTGTCTTATCATGCAGCGTTGGTGCTTTTGGGCCTCCATGCCCGCGTAAGTTTGGAGCGATGTGCGGCCAAATGTCAATATGATAGTTGGCATGACTACTTGACTACTGACATAGGGCTCTGCAGGTACGTCTGACCCTCACAGCATGCCCGATGAAAAGAATCAACTCTCGGCGGCCATGACAATCCGCAAGCGAGCTACCTACATTGAATTGGGTGAGCTGGGGTCCACGCTTTGGTCGGACCAAGAACTGTGTGCAGCGAGCTCTGGCCTCAGTCGAGCATCAAGGAGAAGTTGCTGCTGGCGCCCGCTGGCGCCCCTTGCACAACGAGGCCCCCGGTCGGCTGGAACCCCCCGCCGAACGGTACCGCTGCCTGGAGATTGTCTGGCACGATCGGCGCCGGGGCAATCGGCACGGGCCCTGGCTTTGCCGCCTCGTGCAGCCCAACCGGCGGGCCGGCTGGCGCGGGCACCAATGGGTGGCCGGGGGAGCGCAGCAGCCGCGGGAGCACCGCGGTGCCAGGGCCGGCTGCCGACGCCGGCGCCAACGCCCACCCCGCAGGCGTCGTCCACCCAGGCGCAGAGGGCGCCGATTCGCCTCCGAAGGTGCTCACGCAACGGACCTGCGCCAAGTAGCAGCCGCCGGGCGCGAGCCGGCGGAGGCCGCCCACCTGCAGGTCGACCGGGCAGCCCAGCGCCGTACCCTCGGCGCCGCGGACGAAGCGCTCGCAGGCGGAGCCGCCAGCCTCAGACAGCTCCACCACGTACGCTGCGGCGTGGGGCACCGGAAACCACCTCACCAGCACCGAGGAGCCCACCTCGTCGGCCCAGAGCACTTCTGGCGCGGGGGGCGCAGGGACCAGCCCGCCGTGGACGCACTGCCACCCGAGGGTCGGCGCGCAGGGGGGCGCCGCTGGCGGCAAGGGGGCGGGCGCCGCCACAGCGTGCGACGGCCCCGAGGCCAGCTGCGACGGAAACGCGGCCGCTGGGATGGTCACTGGAGGATCCTCTGGCTTCGGCGCTGGCGGTGGGACGGCGGCGCACGGCTCGGAGGGGTCGGACACCTCGGACCTCGTCCCGCACGTCGTGGCGAAGGACACCCGCGCCTCCAGTGCGGTGCTCGTGGGGAGGCCGGTCACCCTGCAGGAGGAGCACTCCGAGCGCTGGGCGCGGCCCGTGAGCTCCTCGACCGGCCTCCACGGCGCCTGCACGCCCGCGGGGCGCATCTCCAGCATGTACTCGGCGGCTATCACGGACGGGGACCAGGTGATCAGCATCGCACCCGGCTCCTGCCCGGGAGTCAGGCAGGGCCTGGGGAGGGCCGGCAGCGGCGGCTGCTCGGCCGCGGGCGCGCCGGGGAGCAGCGTGGCCACCCGCGTCTCCGCCTCGTCCGCGAAGGCGTGGACCCCGCTGCTGAGCAGGCGCGAGACCGCCCCGACGCCCGGGAACTGTGCCGCCGCGTACCCGGCGCCGCCCGCCGCCCACGCCAGTGCCACCTCTGAAGGGGCCCTGGGACACACAAAGAAATACACACAGATAAAAGGATGCCCCATACTTTCCCATGTTTTCTGGGCTTTTGTCTTCCCCCCCACCTCCCATATGTTCCCATATGTTCTGGGGAATCGACGATGACTTGTGTCTGTGTGTTCTTTCCCCTCCTGAACCTTGGTGGCCCCCTGCTTGGAGAAGAAATGGAAGAGCTCGGCCTCGGTGGCGTCCGCCGGGAGACCCGTGACCACCACCTTGTCCGCGAAGGCGTGGCAGTGCAGGGCGAGGTCGGGGCGCTGCCTGTCGCGCGGGAGCCGGGCCGAGAAGAGGCCCAGCACGGCCGCCGCGGGGCGGGCGGTCTGCTCGAGGCACACCAGCTGGGCCTCCACCGGCTCCCCTTCGCGAGCGCGCGGGACGCAGAACGACACCTCGTCGCCCTCCACCAAGCGCAGCTGCCCCAGGGTCTCCTGGGGGGGGGGGCGGCTGCAGTCGACCCGTCTAGTAAGGACGCGCGAGAAGGGTGCAAGGACCTTGGAAGGCCACGTCGAAGGTTTTCGAGCGGGGCGCGGCCAACGAAAGTGGCCAAGGATGGGCCGAGGAGGCCAGGATGCAAGGTTACCCTTGGGAAGGTTGCCCATCCCTACTATGCGCGTGGACTGCACGCAACCGTGACCGCCACCAAGCTTCCAAAAGGCCAGCCCCGGGCCCGGGTCGCGGCCTCCAAGCCAAGCCGCGAGGCCCACGCCCACCGAGCACGGGCCTGGACGGAGCCCGCGGACGCCTGGTCGTAGGAGGGGGAGGAGGAGGAGGAGCAGTGGAAACCCAAGAGTCACCAACGATGTTGGAATGAACCCTCCCTCCAAGCTCCCTCCTCATAGGCCCCTGCGACGGTTCATTTCCATTGAAGGAACTGCCTCGCTGGAGGACAACAGTTTGAAGGTCCTAAATCGTGCGCAAACGTTGTTCTCGGGATTTCACCGCCACGTATCAGACTGACTGCTGCATCTTGACGATCCAAAATCGCACCAGAACGCCATTCTGGGGACTTCGACACAGCGGGTCAACATAACTGCTGCGCCCGAATAATCCTGAATCCTTCCTAAACACCATTTCTGATGCGTTGATCATGGGAATCAGTGAAACTCTTGCAAATTTTATTATTATTATTATTATTATATTTTTTAATGAAAAAAAGAACGTGCGCGGCGCTACAGCGAGACCCACATTTTGAACAAGAACCGCCCTCAATCCGTGAAACCCTTGTAATTGTTTGAAACGAATGTGCGCGGCACTACAGCGAGACCCACATTTTGAAAACGGCCCACCCTCAATCAGTGAAACTCTTGCAAATTGTCTGAACGAATGCGCGCGGCACTACAACGAGACCCACATTGTGAAAAGGAACCGCACTCAATCCGTGAAGCTCTTGCAATTTGTTAAAGCGAATGTGCGCGGCAATAAGGCGAGAGCCACGTTTTGAAAACCAACCGCCATCAATCCGTGAAGCTCGTGCAAATGTTTAAAGCGAGTGTGCGCGGCGCCAAGGCGAGAGCCACATTTTGAAAACCACCTGCCTTCGATCCGTGAAACTCTTGCAATGTGTTCAAACGAATGTGCGTGGCGCTAAGGCGAAAGACACACTTTAAAAATCATCCGCCCTCAACTTGTGAAATGTTTGCAGCTTGTTTTTTCATATAAAAAACGAATGTTCGCGGCGCTAAGGCGAGAGCCACAGTTTGAAAGCGACCCGCCCCCCATCTTCAGAATCATAAATGATGAAGTCTCTGGCGAAAAGCCCGGCCCGCCGTAAAAACTGGCCTCGGGGTGAGACAGGGAGAAGTTATCTATAAAAAGAAAGACTGGAGGACAGGAAGGAGGAGGAGGAGGAGGAGGAGGAGGAGGAAGCGGAGGTGGAGGAAGCGGAGGTGGAGGTGGAGGTGGAGGAGGAGGAAGATGTGGAGGAGGAGGAGGAAGAGGAGGAGGACGGGGAGGAGGA